CCCCCCCCGGCCCCGCCTTCCCGTCCCTCGGAGGCAGGGCAAGGGGGAGAAACCCCGTGGGAGCGTCGTGTGGCGAGCGCCGGAGCCCCCCTGGGGCTGGCCGGGTCCAAGGGCGGAGACCGATGCCGGATGCGGGTGTGCGGCGTATTTGCTGGATTTTATATTCTCCCCTTATGTCCCGGAACGAGAGCCGGCCATTCTCGGCCCCGTCCTCGGCAGCAGCCCTCGCTCGTGCGGGCGAGCTGGCTTCACCTGGACCGCGTGAGCCTCGCGCCGGCCTTGATCCTGGGCCTTGGCTCCCGGCGCCCCTCGCCCACCGGGCCAAAGCGCGCGGCGGCGCCCAAACGTCCAGCGTGCGCCCCCCCCCCACCCGGACCTTGTCTCGCGTCCGGCGGGAGCCACCGGCAGGGGCCCCCGGCCCTCCGTGGCCCCATTCCGCCTGGCCCCCGGCCGGGAGCGCCGCCGGCCCAACACGCTCATGCATGTGCCTGTGTGCCTGTGCCTTGCGTGTCTGTCGGTCTGTCGGTCTGTCTGTCTGTGTGTGGCTGTGTGTGTGATTATGTGATTGTGCCGTGAGTGGGCTCGCCCGGGGGACCGGTTTAGGGGGTGACAGGGCGCCGTGGTTGGTTGGCCCCACCCCCGGGTGCATTGGGGGTGTCTGCCTGAGGCCGCTGTCCGCCGGCAGAATGGTCTTGATCCAGCCCTGTCCGGGGGATCTCCGCGGCCGTGTATTTCCCTCGTCCCCAGTGTCCCCCCTGCCTGCGAGACTCTCTGTCCCTCTCATGCCCGGCTTTTCCCAGGGCTTCGGGCGTGCCGGTCTCTTCCGGAGCTTTGGTGGCTTGGGAGACACGGGCCCAGGGGAAGAGCAAGAAAAGGGCCTCGCGCCTCCCTGCCAGGCTGGGACTGGTCCCGTCGTGTGGAGGCCCTTCGCGTGCGCACACACACACACACACGCGCGCGCGCGCGCCTCTCTTGCTACCCCCCGAGGCGGGGTCTTCCGGGCGATCCGTTGTCCGTTCGCCGGCTGTCGACTGGCAAGAGGGAGCTCCTACCATACCTCCATGCTCGTGCTCGCGGGGAGACCAGCGACCCACCCCCCCCCCCCCCCCCCCCCCCCCCCCCGCTCCCCCGCCTGGCTCAGGGGCTGTTCAAGTGGGGCGCGGCCGCGACCAGCTCCGGCTTGCGGCCTTTGCCAATCTGCCCTTCCTCCCCCCCCCCTTCGGTCCCCTCCCTGCCCTCCTCCTCCCTACTTCTCTCATTGGCTCCTCCCTCCCCCTCCCCCTGCCTCGCCCTTGTTCCTCGCGCTAGTCTAGATCGCTCGCCTGCACGCCGACACACTCCCACTGCCGGCGCCGCGTCGCCCCTTCTCCTCCTGTCCCCTCCACACACCCCTCCCCCTCGCTGCCCAGCCCCTGCCGAGCGACCTCCACCCGATGAACAGCGGACCGCCCTCTCCATGCCGCGGCTCAGATGATCTCCCCCTCTCATGCTCCGAGCAGGACCCCCAGTGCGCGCCCTCGCTAGGCAAGGCCCCGCCAGCCGGGAGCCTGGGCGAGGCCGCTCCTGCGCCGGCTGTCCCGGATAAGGAGAGGTACCCAGGCCCCTTGCCTCCCTCCTACCCACCTGCACCTGCCGATCTCCCTCCTGCTCTTCGCTCTTTGCTTTGGTCCCGCCACTGACAGCCCAAATGGCTCCAGCCATGATTCCCTCCTGACCGTGGTGGAGGAGCCCTCCGAGTCTGAGGAGTCTGCCGAGCTGGCGATCTCCGGAGGCAGCATGGCCGATGCGCTGACCCCCGCCACCAGCCAGGACACCGAGATTGCGGACGCTTTCTGCGGTGATGCCTTCGGGGGCTTTGCTTCGGGTCCTCCTTCCCCCGTTGGGGCCTCCCCGGCCGACAGTGTGGCCTCCATCCGGGAGCCTGGCCATGGCGAGCTCACATCATCCCTGGATGGGGCTCCCCAGGTGACTGGGGCCATCCAAGTTGGTGCCGGCCTCGATGCCCTTGACTCCGGCGAGGCGGCTCCGGCGCCCGGTGTCGCTGGCGCCCCGGAGGCGACTGGTGCTGCCGATCGCTCGGGAGATGTGATGGCCGGTGACAAGGTGGACTTTGGGGACTTCGATTTGGAGTCTGCCTCTTTGAACCCCATGTCTGTGGATATCCAAGTGGCTGATGCCGATGCCGATGCCGATGCTGCTGCTGCCGATGCTGCTGCTGCCGATGCTGCTGCTGCCGATGAGGGTGATGATGCTCCCGCCAGCGACATCGACATCACCGGCGCCGGGGTCGATGGGGCTCATGCCATAGTCGGCTCTGGGGCTGGCGACACCGCCGAAGTCTTGGCTCTTCAAGCCGAAGACACCATCGATCCGGGGGATATCGCCATCCCGGTGGATCCGATGTGTGTTGGTGTGTCTGATGTCACCCCCGTCAAGGTCCCTGAGGCCGTCTCCCCCCCTGTCCCTATGCATGCTGCTGCCGACGTTGTCGACTCGACTGGTGATGGGTGCGACGGTGGGAGCGGCCTTTCATTGGATGCCGGCGATGCCCCCGTCACGGATGTCTTCACCGACCTCACTACCCCCGCCCAGGTTGCCGAGCTGGACGATGACAAGGATGACTTTGGGGACTTCGGATCTGAAGGGGGCGAGTCTTACTCACCCGGCGAGGAGGAGGCCCCTCACTCATCCCCTGATGTTGACGACGACGATGAGGACGACGACAACGACGACGACGACGACGGCACCCCCGATGCCGAGGTGACAGACATCTCCGGTGAGAACACCTTTGGTGATTTTGGCGCCGACTGCATGCCTGTGGCAATCTCGCCAGACACCAACATCACCGATGCCCTTGAGAAGGATGACTTCGGGAGCCCCCACACCGATCCCATTTCCGTGGCTGGCACGGTGTCGGATGTTGAGATCGCCGACAATGATGTCCCGAAGGGGGATGACTTCTTTGGCGGTTTTGGTGACCAGCCGCCAGCCAGTGTGGCCGCCTCTCCGGATGCCGATATAACCGACGCCTTCGGCAACGATGACGCCTTCGGCAACGATGATGCTTTCGGAAGCTTTGGCTCCAATGATGCATCGAGCGTCGCCGCCGCCGCCGTCACCACCGTCGCCTCGGGCGATTCCTTTTTTGCCACGTCTGCCTCTGCACCATCGTCAGCTGCTCCTGCCGCGGACTTTGGCGACTTTGGTGACTTCGGGGATTTTGCCCCCTCGGTGGGCTCTTCGTCGACGTCCTCCTCCTCCACTGTCATCCCCACGGCCCCGTCCTTCGCCTCGGCTGCCGACAGCAACTTCGGCGACTTCTTCGACACCGCGGCCCCGGGAAGTGCCATGCCCTCTCACGATGGCTCTTTTGATGATCACTTCTCCGACTTCGGTGACACCTCCGGCGCCTTTGGCAGCTTCGACGATGCCGGTGCTGGCGACGCCTTTGGTGATTGGGGCTCCATGTCAGTTGCCCCGGCTGGCACTCCCTCGGCTGGCACTGCTGCTGCTGCCGCCCCGGCAGCCGTTCACCTGCCCCCCTCATCGGTATGTTGCTGCTTGCATTTGTGTGTGGCTCATTCTCCATGCGCCATTTGTGCCCGTTTCCCCGTGTGCCCCACCTGGCATGTTGCTGATCCATCCTCTTGTGTGTCCCTTGGGATGTAGCCGCCCGCCCCGGCGATTTCCCTCCAGCAGCTGGCCGACGTGGACTTCGTGACTTCCTATCTTTCGTCTCCCTCCCCCTCGAGGCCAAGCTCGCCTGGGGGCGATCGCTCTCCTCGTGGCGCCGCCGGCGGGTCCCCCCGGCTGGCCAAGGCGGCTCAGCCGCATCTTCCTCCCTTCAGACCCTTCTCGCGGCTTGCTCGGCCCGAGCACGAGCGACTGTCGAATGCCCTGGCGCACTTCTCCGATGTCCTTCACAAAAGCCACAGCCAGAAGGCTGCCCTTCTGCCTGCCTGCCCTTTCTCGCTCACACACGGCACCGCGCTCTTCCCGGTGGGTAACTCCGGCTCGGCTCGGCGTCGTTGCATCCATTACCTGCCCGGGGTTCCGGCGCGAGACAACAGTTCCCTTACTGGCTACCTGCTGGCCAGCAGTCTGGCACACCGGATCCTGGTTCGTTTGAATTCCGCCGGCGCCTTCTCTCTCTCTCTCTCTCTCCCCACCATTTCGGCCCTACTTCCTCTTTTCTGCCTGCCACGCAATCCCTGTGCTCGTGCCTAACATACCCGCCCGTCTCCTGGACTTGGATGTGTTCTCCTCTTCAGATTTCGGCGAATGTCTACCACACCCAATCGCCGCTTCTTGCCCCAGCAGCCGTCCCGGCAGCCGGTGCCTCGGCGGCCGCCGCCCATCCGAAAGTCGCGAAGACCACCACCCCTCCCCCTGCCACCAAGGCATCCTCCTCGCCGCCGGCGTCCTCCCCTGGCGCTGGATCTCCCGCAACACCCACGGCAGCGCCGCCTGCCACCCCCCCGGGGTCGAGCCCCACCGCGCGTGGTATTCAGTCCACCTCCACTGCCCAGGTGGTGGATGCATTCTCCCCACAGTGTCTATCTTTGTTGAGCTCCATTCCCACTCTCTCCGGGCAGTATCTCTATCCGGCCGAGCTCCTGTCGGGGCAGACCGGGCCGATTGCGCTGGATTTCGACTTCTAAGCCGGTGAGAGCCGCACGAGACATGCGCGTGCCAAATGCTGATGGAGCCGAGACTGCGCGGATCAAATACAATCGGTTCAAAAAGTATCCATGCTTGGCGTGGGGCGTGTGTGCCTGGATATCTGTGCGAGGTGTGCTCCATGTGTCCTGCGCCCCTGCCTCCCGCGCCTTTGCCGCCCCTCTGCCCGTGAAAGTGAGTCTCAATAGACACCGGGGGAACCTTCTTGGCCTTTTGTTTTCTTTTCCTCCCCTCTCTCTCCGTTCGCCGTCGGTGCCTCTTTCTCGGTCCCGGAGGCACGCCGGCCTGCTGGGCCGACAGAAAACCGGCACCGGCAATATCAAGCATGACCAGACCATGTGACCGGCCAGATCGAAGACGATTCTGAGATTTCTTTTGCATTGTTCTGGAGGGGCAGCGCGGGCGGCTTTCCCCGGTCGCCCAAAAATCATGGCTCTTCCCAAGGCCCTTCGTCGGCGCGGGGGAGGGGGGGTGGGGGGGGGAGGCGGCGGCCAATGCCCCGCCCTCTGTACAGGGTTTGTGCAGGGACGCGGTATCATGAACACAACAAGCAAGAGCCCCTGTTCCGGCTGGTGGGCCTGCGTTTGCGGCTGCTATTTGTTTGCTTCCTCGCGCCCTCCCTGCCTGTTTGTCTGTTGGTCGGTCCGGCTGCATGACGCACGTACATGGACATCCTCCTCTGGGTGGTGTATTTTTCGGAGCGACCCCTCTTCCCCACCAAAAGTGCCCTTAGCCACCTGTAGCTGTCCCCCCCTCCCCCCCCCCCCCCCCCTCCCCCCTTCTCTTCCTACTCTGCCACGCCCTCCTCTTTCTCCACCGCCTTCCCGATGTTTGGATCGCTGAAGGACACGGCCGTGGCTGCATGGCTGTCGGTTCAACATCCCTCCCTGCTGAATGCAACGAGCGAGGATTCCCGACCAACCCCAGGACCCGTGCTCGATGAGATTGCCCGTACGTCTCTGCCTGGCTTCGTCTCTTTGTTTCCGCACGTGCATCCTCCTCCCCCCCTTCTCCCTCCTCTCCCCTCCCACTGATCCCCTCCGTCTCTGGTCCCAGAGCTCACCTGGTCTTCGGCCGAGGAGGCCAGCGACGTCATTCGCTTCCTGTACCACCGGCTGAATTACTCGGACTCGCCGTTTGTCCTGCTGAAGTCCCTTCGCTGTCTCCGGCATGTGGTTCTTCGTGGCTCGGAGCGGGCTCACTTCTTGGCCCGCCTGCCGGATGGCCACATCACCCTGGCCCTGAAGCGTGTGGCGCACTTCCATAACCCGATCAATGTGGCAAACCTGCCGAAGGCCCAGCTGGATGTCTTGGTCAAGGCCGTCCGCGACACGGCCATCGAGGTGACCAAGCTGGTCTTCGAGGACCCGGCATCCATCAAGCGCACGCCGCCCGGAGGAGCGGCCGGCGGTTATGGCAGCCACACCTTCAACGCGGGCGGCAGCGGTGGTGCCAATGCCGTGCGGTGGGCCTCCGGATCGGGAATTGCCCCGGCCCTCGGAAGTGATGCCGTCGTGGCAGTCGGGCACCTGGACGCATTGCCCCCGTCGACGGCCCTGTCCAGTGCCAACTTTGCCCGGCCCATGCAGTCTCTGCCAAGCCTGGAGCTTTCGCCCGAGGCCAGTTTGGAGTATCGCCTGGTGCAGGATGTCTGTACATCCGGCTCGGGGGGTGTCCTGTCGGCCAGCGGTGTGCCGGCTGCCGTGCTTCAAGACTTTGCCCGGCGCCTCGGTGGCTTGCGCCTGTCCTGGGTCATGGACCGGATTGGGCATTACCTTCGTACCGGCTCGGCCTCTGAGCTCTTGGTGCGCGCGGCAATCCCCCCCCCCCCCGGGGGGCAAAGGCCCCCGCCCTCTTCGGCCTATCTTCCCCTCTCTGTTGCTTCATCTGCCCCCATACTCACAAGCCTGCCTCCCTTCCATTCACAGCGTGCCCTGGCCCTGCTGGATGTTGTGGCGCAGCACAACTCCGAGGAGGTGGCGCCCCTGTGCCTGCCCCTGGCGCGGCCGGTGGCCCAATTGTCGAATGGCATCGACCCCTTCGGCGCTGATCGCAAGATCACCCCGGCTGTGCGCACCCGCGCGGAGAAGGTAAGACAACGTGCCCCTCCCATTGGCCCTTTGCTCCCTTTGGCCTCCCCCCCCCCCCCCCCAACTCACCCTCTTTTGTCCGATCGGGCTTCAGTCCCTCCGTGTCCTCTCGACCGTGAATCCCAGCAGTGGATCGAGTGTGCCGGCGACGACGACGGCCCCGGTGGCTGGCTCGCCGGCGGTCCCGGTCCCTGCAAGCCCATCTGCGAGTGCTCCCTCCCCGTCCCTTCTGGACTTGGAGGGCCTCTTCCCGACCGGGGCCCATTCTCCCGGTGTTGGCTCCGACGAGGGGCCAAGTGCCGATGGCGCGACGCGGTCGAACTCCGAGCCCTCGGAGGAGTCCTCGGCCTTCTCATTCATCGGCGGTGCCAGTGCCAGTACCAGTGCCGGTGGCCTGAACCTCGATGATGAGGATGACGAGGATGACATGTTCGCTGGCATGAGTATCCGCGATGCAAGCGACTCAAGGCAATCGACGTCCGGCATTGTGGCTGCCCGCTCGGCCTCCGCGCCGGCCACGACCGAGCCTTCGGCCTTCGATTTCCTCTCCTCCGGGACGGCCCCCGCGTCGGGCCCCGCCGCCGGCGCCTCTCTCTTCGAGGACATTGGCAGCCTTGGTACCGGTGCCGTGGCCGCCCCGGTCGATCCGCTGAAGGCCATCATGTCTTTGTACTCCTCCTCGCCCGGGGTCCCGGTGCCGACTGCCACCCCCGCCATGTCATCCTCCACCCAGTCGGCTTCTGGCACGGCTTCGGCTGATCTGCTTCTGGACTTTGACCAGTTTGCACCGGCGAGCACTGGCATGAGTGCCAGCGTGCGGAAGCCGCAGCCGGCGCCCGCCGCGCGCCGGGATGCCTTCGATTTTGTCCAAGACGAAATGCGCTCCCGCGGGACCCCCTCCTCTCCTTTTTGACTGACCCGACCTTTCTCGTGCCCTCCCGGGCTTTTTCCATCGCCCCGCCCCCCTCTCTCTTTTTATCCCTCTGCCTCATCCCCGATGTACATTCCGTCCTTGTCGCCATTCCGCCATGCAACATGCCGCCACGCCTGCCAGTGCCTTGATGTGTTTGGGTAGGGGGTTTCCTTTTCTATTTTCTTGCTTTCCAGGGTTTTTTTTCTCTCTCCTTCTCTCGCGTCAGCTCCGGCTGGGCTTGCCTCCTTGTCGGGAAAGACAGCGCACCAGGCGAGGCGCAGATCAAAGTAGACCCGTTGTCAGGATGCCCGTGCTGAAGAGCCAAAGGGAAGCGGAGGAGGCGGCTCCCCATGCGGCGGCAACACGGGTGTCCATCGGGAGCATGCCGCCAGCGCCGTAAACGGCACCGACCGCCGCGCCGACCGTTCCCCCAACGATGGTCGCCGCAATCGGAGTGGCCAGGACAGCCAGGACGATTGGCGCGGTGGCCAGGACATTGAGAAGCGACGGGGCAAGAGGACTGACTGGCGGGCTGGGGGGAAGCATCAAATAGGTGTTTCCCTTTTGGTGGTATCGCGTGCGAAGGCATCCCTGGCTATTAGGGGTGATGGTCGACGATACGGCGTTCAGCGGGAAAACGTGAGGAGCTGAGGATCGTTGGCCGCGGAAGGCCCAACGAAGGGAGACGCTCGCATAAATGGCCACAAGCAGCGAGGAGCCCACTGAAATGACGAGCGTCCACAGGAGGGTAAAAACGCAGATGTCTGGGAGGCGGGGGGGGGGGGGGGGGGGGGGGGGGGGGGGGGGGGGGGGGGGGGGGGGGGGGGGGGGGGGGGGGCGGGGCAAGAGGTGAGTGGGAGGTGGCCACGGACGAGAGGATGGCCGCGGGCCCAGATGGGCCGAAGGTGTGCGCGAACGGACCTGACACCAGGTAGAGCTCTGCTCCGCCCTCCAAAATCGACGGCCATGCAGGGGTTTGGTAGTCGGGCGGGAGAACAGAGGACATGGTCTGCCGCGCCGGGGAGGCGAAAAGGGATGGGCGAGGGGGAGGGAAGGCGTATGGATGTGTGTGTGTGTTTTTGTTTGTTTTTTTTTTTTCGCAGGAGGGGGGGAGAAGGCAAGCGGCTTTCACCACCCCTCGGACCCAGGAGCAGTATGGATCTCGAAAAGGCCGGGGAGGGGGAGATTTTGTGGCTCGCAGGACATCGACCCGGAGAGTCGCCGGGTCAACCGGCGATCCGAGTCCCCATCATCTGGTCGTGGGAAGAGACACAGAAGCCATCCGTTGGCACTAGCTCACCCTCGACTCCGACAACATGGGTCGCCTCCTTCCCTTTATTTTTAATATGCGGCCGTGTGTCCTCTGGGAAGGGACCGGGTGGCGGGGGTGGAGGGACAAGGGACGTGGTGATGGACCCTGGAGCAAGCCGAGGGGGAGGGAAACTGTATTGTTGGTGTTGCCGTTGCAGAGTCCGAGAGATCACTCAGGAAGACACGCCGAGTGTCGCCATGGAGGGGACAGAGGGTTCGGGAGAAACAAGAGGAGGGGTGGGGGGGGGGGGGAATCAAAGGGGAACCACGAGGAAAAAAAAAGCCCCGGCATTGGTTTACCTCGGCCTCCCCGTGAAATGGGGTGCCGGAAAAAGGCGAGTCGCTGCGCGGGAGAGCCGAGCATCCCAAGGTGGGTGCACGGTGAGTGTCAGTATTGCTGCTGCTGCTGCTGCTGTTGAGGCGATTGCGGGTTAGGGGCAGAGGCTGGCCGGTAGAGGTTGCCTGAGGATGACCGATGGTAGCCGGCGGCCTGGGGGAAGTCCCCGCCGGCTGGGCCGTGAGGCGAAAGCCGGCCCGGCGAGGAGGAGTACATAGCGTCACTCTGAGACACATGGTGATGCATGTGGGCGTGGTGCTGCGGCGGACCCGAGGCCGGGCGCTGTGGGTGACCTCCATAGACCGTCGGCCCGGGGCCCGGGGCCCCACCCATGGAGTAGGATGGGCCTGTCGCCGGCTGCGGCTGTGGCTGCGGCTGCGGCTGGCCGTGGGGCTGGTGATGGTGGTGGGCATGGGCGTGGCCGTGCTGGTGAGCGTGGTGCGCCGGGGCACCGGCGGGCATTCCCCCGGCGCCACTGGACATGGAGGGCGCCCGGCCGACCGGGGACCCGGCTGCCGAAGAGGCCGCGAAGGGATCGGGGCCCGGGGCGGCAGCACGGCGGCCGGTTTGCGGATCCACCCCGGCCATGGATGGCGGGGGCGCGGGACCGGTGCCGCCGGCGGAGGGGAACAGGAACTCCCCGACATTCGGGGCCAGTCGCGGATCGCCACTGGGATAGGCGTTGTCCAGGAGGGCACTCTCGCCGAGGAAGGACTCGGAAAGGGCGCTCTCGCCGAAGAGCGAATCGCCATTGGAAATGCTGTCCCCGGCGCCGGTGTTGAGGAAGCAATCGGCCAACATGGACTCGGACATGGAGCCATCCGGCATGAAGGCCCCGACACCCGGGCCGGCGGGCATCCCCCCGGCCGAGGCCATCATGCTGCTTGTGGAGGCCATCCGGCCGTTGGGCAGCCGGAGGCCGGCCCCGGCATGCATCATGGATGGCCGGCGAATCATCCGGGCCATGGCGCCCATGTAGGAGCTATAGGTGGCGTCCGGGTCGATGATGGACTCCTCGCCGGGGTTCAGGTAGGACGCCTCGAGGAGCGAATCGCCGTCGAGCTCCGAGCGGATGGTGCCCATGCGGTCGCGGCGCTTGTCGCGCATGCGCTTGTTGGTAAACCAGTGGTTGATCTGGCGCATGGTGAGATTGCACTGCCGGGAGAGGCGCTTCTTCTCGCGCTCCTCCGGGTAGGGAGTCCGATTGTAGGTCTCCCGCAGGGCGCTGACGGTTTCCGGCGGGAAGCGCTTGGCCGTGGTGGAGCCCGACCGGCCGGCGGGCTCGGAGCCCTCGCGCTGCGGGCTGTCGGGCGACAAGGGCGCTTCCGAGGCGCTGGGCTCGCGCTTGATGGCCGCGGTCGAGGGGTCGGCCGCTCCGCTGGCGTGGCCGCCGCCACTGCCGGTGGACTCCGGCGTGGGGGGCAGGTCGCCGGCAGGACGTGCGCCGGCCCCCGCTCCCGGGGCATCATCGCTGTCGCTGACCTTCGGGCTGGGGGAGTCCTCGCCGCTGGGTTGCTGATCGACGCCCAGAGCTCCGCGCTGGGTTCGAGCCAGGTGCGCGATGTAGCGGACCCCCTGGCGCTGGAGCTTGGCCTTGATGACGTGGTAGCGGGTGTACCACTTCTTCCGGGTGTCATTTTGAACCGCCGGATCGGACTGCAAGAGGAGCCACAGGGTAGAGGGAGGGGGGGGGGATGCGCGAGGATGGACGGAGGCTGTCAGAAAGGACGGATCGAGAGCGAGCGAAGGACCCGGGCGCGCGTCGAGAAAAAAAGAAGAGGAACCACCCCCCCACCCCACCCCCGCCCCCCAATCGGCGGAGCCAACAGGCACCACGGGTGCTCACATACCTGGTGCATGAGCTCCATGGCGCAGTTGAGGGCAATCTTGCGGCGGAAGCTCTTCGAGTCACGGAGGTAGTTCTGTCGCAGGCGGAGGAGGTGCCCGAGGACGCGGCCGCGGCGGGCGCGCATGCGCGGCGTCAGGGTCTCCTCGCGATCCAGACCGCCAAGCAGGTCGTTGGCCTTGCCCCGGCGATTGGCGGTGATCCCCAGCCACAGGGCGTGGGCCTGCTGCATGTCTGGCGGGGGGCAATCGATGGCCGGATCGAGCCAGGACTCCAGCTGGAAAACCAGGGCATTGGTGTGGCTGGCCGGGTCGAGGGCCGGGGGGTCGGCATCGGCCGAGCTGGGCAGGGTCCCCGGCGGGCGTGGCCCCGGGATGGTACCCATGACACTGGGCGCCATGTTGCCGGGGGGGCGCCAGGCCGCGGCCGCGGCCGCCACGCCGGACGTCATGCCCTGATTCCCGGGCCCCGGGTAGTACGATCCCACCGGCTTCAATGTGCCATCGGAGGGGGCAAACCCGGCGACCGGGCTCACCTGGGCGATGCCGAGCTCGGCGCCCTCCAAGCCGGTGGCGGGATGCGGCCCGCGGGCTTGATAGACATTGGCCATGGCAAAGTGCGAGGAGAAGTCGCCCTTCATGTGGCCCTGGGTGCTGGCCCCGAAGCTTTGCATGCCGACCGAGATGTCCATGTCGCCGGTGGCCGACATGGCCATGCGGTCCTTGTCATCGGCGAAGGGCCGGGCCCCCGGCGGACCGGCATACTGGCTGCCGGCATGGGGAACATGCGCCTGGGTCGCGTGGCCGGCCATCGAGGCAGGGGCCTTGCCCGGGTAGTGAACCGGCGCGTAGGCAAGGTTGGCGCGATCGTGCGGGTGCGGCAGGGCCGGGATCGCCGCATGGTGGCCAGGCCCGACAGCGGGGGGGTCATTCTTGGGCGAGGGGGCGCTCGACGTCTCGGACGAGGGGCCGGAGGTGGAATAGTAGCCGGGCGTCAGGTCCATCGGGTTGACGCGATTCTGGACGGATATCGTACAAGGGATGACCGGCTGGGTGAGCATCAAAGACGGGCGAGGGAACCCTTGGGCAGAAGAGGGGTCAGCATGCGTGGGTGGCACTCACCTGCGGGGCGGAAGTGCCGGGATTATGGAGAGGCGCATGCGGGCCTCCGGGAGCCGAGGCATTGACAGCCGCGGCGGCCGGCAGGGGGAGGTGCTCCAAGCCGAGGGTGGTGTGGCGAGGCGAGGACACCACGCCGAGGGCCAGGCGATCGGTATCCAAGGCCGTCACGCCATCCAGCATGCCGGCCAGCTTGTCCCACTCGTCATTGGCATCGGTCGGGTCGCCGGGCTGGCTCGCCGGGGCCGGGGACTGGAACATGCGGGACCCTTCGTGGGGATCGTCATTGGGCAGCCGGGCATACGGCTCGGCAGCCGGTGACATGAGCGAGTGTCCATCGCGCGAGGACAAAGCCGGGGAATAAGTGGACGAATGGGAGTCCATGTCGGCATTGATGGGGGAATAGGCGTTGTGCGGGTGGTGGTGGTGGTGGTGGTGCAGGTGATGAGATTGGTGGTCCGCCGGGGGGAGGTAGCCCCACCCGTAGGATGACTGGCCGGGGGCCGACATCGGGAGCTGGCTGGTGCCTCCGTAGTGGAGATTTCCGTACATTGAGTAGCGGGGAGGGCGGGGGGGGGGAGGGGGGAGGCGGATCGGGGCGGAGGGCGGGCCAGGAGGAAGATCGCAGCGGGGCCGTTCGGGCAATGGGCAGGTGAGAGGGGGAGAGAGGCGACGAGAGGGGGGAGGGGAGGAGGCAAGGGCACGGTATGGGGAAGATGTCGATGGAGGACGATCAACGTGAAGATGCTATGCATACCCTTGAGAAGGAGGGGGAGGGGAGGCGGCCCGGGGTCGTTTTCAAGTTCGAGGGAGCACAGGAGGATCGGTCTGTGTACGTGTGTGTGTGTGTGTGTGTGTGTGTGTGCCGGGGCAGGCGGGAGGGAAGCAAGTGCAGGAGCGAGGGCAGGCGAGGCGGGCCGGTCGGTGGGTCGGGCCGAGCAACACAATGCGGCGACCGGTAGGACACAGGAGGGTGGTGAAAGGTCAGGGCGAAGCGGAGGGCACAGATTGATTTGGCTATGCCCGAAATGGCCCCGCCGGCTAGCACACCCCCTAGCGGCACCAGAAATAATACAAGGTGACGGATCCGGAGCGGGAGCAGGGGAAGGGGGGAAGGGGGGTCGTACCTTGACTGGAGGGGGCTCTTTTCCCTGGGCCGGAACAGAAGTGGTACAGATGCTTGTACTGAGCGAGGGTGGGGTGGGGTGGGG